ACTTTGGATTTCAGTTATTATAGTTTGCAATTTCTATTTAGGGTTTCTCTTTTAGTTGCTGTTTGCATTATGTTTGTAAATTTTTTCCCCTCGACTTTCTCCATGTCTTCCTTCAGTTATTTGATCATCTTTAAGATAGTTGTGTTAGTCTTTGTCTTTTTAGATTTGCTGGGTTTTTTTTTTTTTTTTTTTTTTTCAGTGATAGTTTCTCTGTTTTTTTCCTTCAGCTTGGCTGTACTATTTCTTTGCCTTTGTGATTTTTTTGTTTGTTTGTTTTAAACTGGGCTTTTAATTCTAGAACTGTGATAAATTTTGGAAGTGAGATTCTTCCCTGTTTTATGCTCTTGTTTTTTTCTTTTTTATTGTTACAATTTCATGCCAGAGATCAACCCAATATGTAAACATAGGATTCTCATGTGTCTTTTTAACCTGTACCATACTTGGGTGTACAATTCTGACTTCCTATAAATTGTTTCTTTGGAATGTCATACACCTTAAATGTCTGGCAGCCAGCAAGGGAAAAATGAAAATGAAAGAAGGGGCAAAAATAAAAATGGACAGCAGCATTGTAAATGCCCTGAAAGTCTTTTTAGTTAGACCAGAAGAGATTATATAACAATGCATGTCTGTTGTCTGCCTTTCTGAACCTTTATAATCAGAAACAGCAGTCAGTGATTGGAGCACCAGTACTACTTCCTGTACAGAGTCCTGATTGCCTACCCTGGGCCCTAGAGGCTGAATGCAAGCTATTCCTGGCACACCTTGTGTCTCAGTTACTCTTCTCTTGTTGCTGGGACAAAATACCCAGCACCCAAAATGAAAGAAGGAAAGGTTTATTTAGCTCAGTTTGTGGAGCTTTCAGTCCATACAGTGCTAGCTTCAAGGCAGACTAGCACAGGGCAGAAGGCAGCAGTTCATGGCAGCATAATACAGCAAAACAGCAAGAGCAAATGGGAGGAGTAGCAGCAACAATGGCAACAGAAGCAAAGTATGTCCTCCTTATGTTGCATTCAGGCTAACTGCCCCAGGCTGATGCATACTCACAACCACAGTCCCAGTGGATCATGAGTTAGTCACAGACTCCAGAAGCCTACCCCATGACTGCATGAGGCTTTGGGGGAACAATTAGACACAAACCTTGCTAGATAGGGGTTCTGTCTGTGCTGTGAGCTCAAGCTGAAGCACACCCAGTTTGTCCCCTCACTCTTCTCCTATAAGTTAGAAGCCCTTGAGTAGACCTCAGAATTTCAAAATGGTTTTTTAGTTTTGTTTTTTCCTGCCAGTGCAGTTGACATCAAGGAAGAGATGCAGATTCTTGATGCTTTCTTCTTTAATATCTTTCCAGAATCCAACTGTTTTGCTCACTGTTTGAAATTTCTTCAGTGTCCAGCTTTATCATGCTAGTGTTGCCACAGAGTAAGTGCCATATATACTTGGCACTAAGGCATCTTGCTAAGTTCTTACCAATAACTTTAATAACTTATTTATGAGCCAGGCATGGTAGCACAGGCCTATAACTTAGCAGTTGGAAGGCAGAGAGGCAGAGGTATAAGGATTTGAGTTTGAGTTCAGCCTTGATTACATGGTAAGGTAGAGGCCAGCCTGAACTACATAATGAGACTCTGTCTCAAGAAAACTAAAACTAAAAAAAAAAAAAAGAATTTATTTGTGTATATAGTAATGTCATCTGAGAACTAACCCAGGTGTGCTTCCTTATTTCTAGTAGTTCTGTCTAATGTGTATACTTATGTTGCCTTAATGTGCTAACAGGAGCATTAGTATGATGTTCACCAGAAGTGCTGACGATCAAGACAGTGTGCTGTTTATTTTTACAGTTAAGCATCGTGTTTGCCTGAAGTTTAATGTTCTTTCTTTATTTATTGAGACATGACTTTTCTCCTTTAATCAATTAATACGGTGAATTGGTAGATGTTTCTGGCTATCAGCAGCTAAGTTTTTCCTAGAGTAATTCTTAATTTGTTTACCATGTGATATTCATAAATACTACTAGTTTTGGTTAACGAAAATAATATTGCTTATGATTATCATTGAGCTTGATCTACACTTTTATTTTTATCAGTTTTGTTATCAAAGTCATTCTACCCTAATAAAATCATAAATGTGCTCTTATTTTTTGTTTTGTTCTGTTTTTGTTTTTCAAATAGAACAGCTTGAAAGGCTGGTAGACCTTGTGATTGAAGTCATCTGTACCAGGCATTGGAATTTTAAAAACATTACTCAGTTTCTTTAAAGGCCGTAAAGGTAGCTTTTTTCCCCACCTTGAAATAAGTTATTTGGAAATTGAATTTCTGATGAACTTTTCGATTTTATGTAAATTTTAAGCTTACTGGTATAAAATGTATGCTTGTGTTGGTGTCTTTCTGAGTGTGAAGTGTCTGACATAATGATGGCTGCTGCTGTCTCACGTGTGGTTCAGTTGGAGGGGCTCTTCCTCGAGCCTTGCTTTGTTGGGAGTTCTCTTTTGTGAGCTTTGGGCGTAGACTCAAATGCCTCTGTCCCAAGCTACCTGATCACTGAGGTGACTTGGTACAGGCTGGGTGTCAGCCAAGATGGCTTTGTTACCTAGGCCCAGTCCAGGTGGGTGGGTAGTGGGTTCCCTCATGAGTGTGTACTCTGTTGTGTTAATGGTGGGAAATTCAGAAAGAGTCCAGCTCATGGGCCTATGCGCAGGTTGGGTTTTATTTGCATCACACTGACTGACATTTTCCTGATGAAAAACAAAGAACGTGGCTAAACCTAAAGTGAAAGGATGAGGAAGATATGCTTCTCTGTCACCATCAGATGCTACATATGCATTAAGATTTGTTTTTTCAGGGATATATTCCGTTAGCTCCTTGTAAAATAAATAGCTTTTCTTGTAAAGGTAATTTAACTTTGTAAGTATAGTTATTTCTAGCCACAGTAATCATGTAACTGTAAAGGTAGACATAAGAAAGATGTATTATTTCCTTATTAAATGTTTGTTAAAAACATGAAGGGTACTCAGAAGTACCAGAAACATGAGTCCATCGCCATCATGTTCCAAAGGGAAAAAACTCATCTTAGTATAGTAGTGTTTTTGAGCTATTTTTAGCAACTCTGGGCTTTAAGGTAGTTATGTTTGTTCAGTGGCTGTGAACCCTGACTTCATCCTGGACTAAAGTAATTTGGAGAATTTTAAAAAGTATTTATCATTCTTTTGGTTTACCCAAGACAATCCCACTGTGCAGCCAGGCTTTTGAACTGTATCCTCAGTAGACCAGTTTGAAGAAATGTTCAGCAAACTCACATTACAGTAATTTTTAAACATTTACTACATTTCTTTGATATATCATGATGGGCAGAAAGGGCAAAATGTTAAATCTTGTTCAACCAAAGAAGTTTGTAAAGATTCCATTTAAGATTTCTGATGTTAAAAGGTATCTTTGCTTTAAAATTTTTGGTTCATATTGGCTCACATTGCTCTGAGGTAAGATGGTTGTTAGAATGTACTTTCTTTTCTAATAATGTGGCAAACCATCCAACCTGTACAGCTTCTTGAACCCAAATACCTTTTAAAATGTATAATTGAAAACCAATACTATTAGTCTATATTGATTCTGAAGTTACACTGAAAGTATTTGGCAGTCTAGGTAATGTATTAATTGGAATGCATTGCTAAACCATCCAAAACTGCTTTAAAACAATTATTTACTTAGCTAATAATTCTGTTGTTCCGTAATTTTGGCTGGGGATAGTGGGGCTGTTTTCATTTTAGCTGAACCCAAATAATCCACTTGTGACTTGGTTTAGGGCAGGAGGATGGGGATTGGTCTGGCCAGAACTTCGGGTCTTTCTTCCATATGGTGTCTCACACTGTAGCCACTAAACTTGGGTTCTTCTCTTGCTAGGGTTGGGTTCCTAAAGAGAGGGAAGAGCTGCGAGTCTGCTGACAAAGCAGTGAGCTTATGAAGCCACTTGTGATGTTTAGAATGGAGACACTGTTACATCTGTGTTCTGTTGGTCAAAGCAAGTGATAGGTCAGAATCTGGATTTAAGACATGGAGAAGAGTCTCCTTGGTGAGATGTGAGGCAAAAAATGAGCTGTAAGACCTAGTGGAAGCAGGAAGGAGACCTGAGACATCAGCCCCTCTCAGTAGAGTCACCTTGTGAAAAGTGTACACAACGAACAACTACCCTGCTGGCAATAAAAGAGATTAAGAAACCAATAGAATGTCTTAATTTCAAGATGTGACATTTGTCTGTTTTTGAAGAGGAATGAATCTGTGACATTATAGGAATTATGTTTGAGAATTCTCCAGTCTTTACCAAAGACATCAAACCTGAGAGTGAAGAATACAAGGCCTAAATTGGGTAATAATATTTAACTCCTCCTAAACACAGTGAAATACCACAGGAAATTGGACAGATTTGTGGGAGGGCAAACTGGTAGCCTGTCTCTAGTCTTTGCAGCTCCTTTGGTGTTCTTTGATCATAGGAATCTGGGTTTGAGTGTGAAGGGATCAGTTTGTATAGAAGAAAGCGAAGGGGGCCGGGGAGATGGCTCAGTGGAATAAGCGCTTCCCTGGCAAGCGCAAAGGCCTGAGTTCAATCCCTGGTTCCACCAAAAAAAAAAAAAAAAGAAAAAGAAGAAGAAAGCAAATACTGTTTTCTGTTGCATTCAGTACTGCAGCACTGGGCAATTCTCAGCCTAAAACTTCCGGCGGTGCTCCAAGAGTAGATTGGAAGAGCCCGTTGGATAATGTCTGCTGATGCCACTGAATGATCTGCAAGGGATTTCAGTACAGAGCACACCACTTTCTGGGACTATGCCTGTAGTCTATCTGTGTGGATACCACATTCATTCTGTATAGATTAAAGCTATTTCACATAGAATTTATAAAACTTCTTAAACTCTTTAAAAGTAATTATTTTTAAAGAGAAAATGTCAGTTTACTATATTCTTGATTTCAATTGTTAAAGGTAGCATTAAACTGAGGATTTCTGCTGTTTCATTCTAGGCAGCATACTTCTGCTTTTGTTCCTTCATCAGGAAGAATTTATTCTTTTGGGCTTGGAGGAAATGGACAGCTGGGAACTGGTTCAACAAGCAATAGGAAAAGTCCGTTCACTGTAAAAGGAAATTGGTTTCCATACAATGGGCAGTGTCCTCCAGATATTGGTAAGTTTTAATAAGATTTTGCTATATGTGTTAAAGTTGTTACAGTGTTGTTTTTGAGCTGGGCATGGTAGCAGACATGTGTAATCCCAACTCTTGAGAGGCTAAGGCAGGAGGATCACCATGAGTGAGGCCAGTCTGGGCTGTGTAATAAACCCAAGGCCAACCTGAACTACAGAGTAAGACCTTGCTTCCCCCACAAACAATTTTTGTTTAAGTATTGCTTTTAAGTGATGAGCCTTTCTATGTTTGCAAGAATTCTAAGGTACATTGTTGTTTGCTATTGTTTAGCTTGCTTATATTTCCTTATGCATACAAGGAAAATTCTGGCTAAAGTGTTTCATAAGGTGGATCATAAGGAAAATATGTAGTGGCTAGATATTAGTTAAGGAGTTGTGTTTATTTTTGATCTTATTAAATTGGAATAAAATGCAAAAACATAAAATTTACTTACTTTGCCATTCTAAAGTTTAACAATGCCTTGACAAAGTATGTGGTATTTTTGTCTAAAAGCTAGATCATTTAAACAGCAACTCTGCATATCTTGTCTCCTCCCTATTCTTGGCAACCACTGTCCTGTCTGTCTGTCTCTGAAACTGCCTAGATTCTAAGCACCTAATACAGATTCATACAGTGTTTGTCTTTTTAGGACAGGCATACTTCACTTAGCATAATGTCCTTAGTGTGCATCCATATTGTAGCATGTGTCAGGATTTCCTTCCCCTTTAAAAAGCTGCATAGTATTCCATTATATGTAGATGCCACGTGTCCTTTATATATAGACGGTTTGCTGTAAATAATGCTGCTGTGGACATGGATGTACAGATTTTTGAGATCTTTCTATTTATAGAGTACATAGAGGAATTTTTAATTATGTACCATTTTCTATTTTTTAAAAATTTGAAGTATATACATTTATTACCTATTTGTGATACTAAATGTTTTAATTTGCTTTTTATATCCCTTCTACTTTAGCCAAATGTGTGTGAGTGTGTGTGTGTCTTTTTGAAACAGGGGCTCACTATGAAGTTCAGGCTGGCCTTGAGTTCACTTTGTATCCCAGCTTAGTCTTCAACTTGCAGTGGTCCTCTTGCCTCAGCCTCGGAAGTGCTGGGGATTACAAAAGTGTGTGCCATTACACCTGACTCCAAATATGTATTAATTTTTAGTTTCCATTATTTTGGCATTATATCTGCTTATTTTTTATTGACATAAGTATGCTACTTAGAAAATTTGAAGTATTTCAGTACTGTTTCTGCACCTTCTTGGTTAGGTACTATAACCAAGATGTACTTTTTATGTTTTTGTTTCTTTATTTTATACTTTATTTTGTATTTCTAAGCACCAAATATATACTCATACAGTGTTTTTCTTTTTAGGACAGGCACATTTCACTTATCATCCAAACTATTCCTCAGAATTATTCTTACATTTATTTTATCTCTTGATGGAAATTAGCATTCTGGGTTATACATAAAATAAAAGAACTATGAAGTAGGGGCCGAGGAGATGGCTTAGTAGAATAAGCACTTCCCTGGCCAGCTCAAGGGCCTGAATGCAATCCCTGGTTCTGCCAAAAAAAAAAAAAAAAAAAAGCCATGAAGTAATATAGAACTTCAAATCTGGACATGGTGGTGCATGCACAACTGTAATTCTAGCAATTGGAAGGCTGAGGCAGCAGGATAACAGCAAGTTCGATCCCAGCCTGGGCTACATAGTGAGTTGAAGACCAGTTTGAGCCACATAGGGAGACGTATTATTATTTTTGTGTCCTTGGCAGCATGTTTGTGGTTTCTTTTTATAAAAGTTATTGTTAGTAACCTAGCAAAGAAACTTGGATTTTAACCAGTATGAATACTGTAAGGAATCATATATTTTTGTTTTTTATAAAACAAAAGTGGTCTCTTGGGGATGCATTTTTTCACTTTTGTAGCTGAATACCTTGAAATATTTGCGTTGAAAAGAAAATTCAGGTGGGGTTTAAAAAAAGAGATGGAGTTTTGCTCCATCTCTTTGTATTTTAGCTACAATTTAATTGCATCAAAAAAATTGTTCATACATAATAGCTAAATGATAGAAACAACTCAGGTGTCCAAATGGAATATGATGGAGCCTTTAAAAAGAATGAGTCACATATGCCTATACCTAGATGAAACTATTACCTTGAAAATATTATGCTAAATGAAAGCAAACAAACTCACAAGGATAAGTAATACACGATGCCAGTTATATAAGGTCCTTAGAACATTCACATTTATGGTTACTAGCTGCTGAAAGGTTGAGGGAATGAAAAGGTATTGTTTAATGGGTTACTACTTGGTAGAACGAAAGCTCTGGATTGATTAGTGATGATGATCGCATAGTGTTGTGACTATTTAATGTCACTGCTTTGTGAACTTAATACTTAAAGTGATACATTTTATGTGATTTTTTTTGTCATAAAGAAAAGTTGTTTTTAATCATATGCTATTATAGAGCTACATACAAATTAATTAGCTGAATATCAATCCAGTAGTTTTCATTGTTTTCTGCTGCAGAGTGGAATTTGAAGTACCTGCTCTGGATCACACTGACAGCACAGTCTGTCTGGTGTGGCCAAGGCCATGGGTAAACAAAGACATTTTAACAAGTAGGATATTCCAGTGGTTTAGTTACTTTCTGTAGAGCTGCAAGAGGGCAAACTTTTCTTTAGAATGTGTGAAAGTTTAAAGAACTGTCAGTTTGCTGAGGTTCTGCATTGCACTGTCACAGACTTGAACAGTGCACACTTATTATGTCAGAGTTCTGGGAGCCAGACATCCTAAAAATAAAGTTGCTTCATTCTGAAGGCTGTTGGGAACAGTCTGTCATATAATGTGTGTCAATCTGGTGGTTTCCCTGCAGTCTTTGACATTCTTTGTCATGAATTAATCTTAAATTAACATGGCATTTTCAGTGTCCAGGTCTGTGTCCAAATTTCTCCCTATTTCAAAGACTACCAGTTACTGGGATAGGGACCTGTCTTACTCCAGCATGACCTCCTCTTAACTAATCAGATCTACAGTGATTTATTTCCAATTAAAGTCACAGTATGAGGGATGAGGATTAGGGTTTCAACAGGAATTTTTGAGTGACACAGATCAAACTATAGCTGTGGTACGGGGCCTGCACGGCATGCTGGGCGATTAAGCCTGATCGCTGGCAGGCACTTTAGTCTGCTGAGCTATCTGGCTGACCCTAAAGATACCTATTTGAGTGTTGACAGCTACTTACAAGTATTAATTAATGTCAGTAATATTATTTGTTTATACTTAATTATGCATTGATATTATTAGAATTCAATATGTCCACCATATGTTCCAGCTGGCATACTAGATGCATGTGTCTGGATGACAGTCTTAACTGGGGCTTATTTTTTGAGAGGAGCTTTTCTTAGGACCCTGAAAAATCATGCTAGAGCCTTTTTTCCAGTTAGATTTTATTTGGGGAGAAATATGACAATAAAAAACATGCAAAAATTAATACATTTTCATTATTAACAAATGGAAATTTAGAATGCAAAAGGGTAGCAAATAAATCAAACGATTACGCATTAACCCTCCCTTTTCTGTTATTGGGTAGTAGATATAGAGAAGCTATAGTCCAGCTAAAGTAAAGCCACTATATCTCATTTTTAAGCTCACTTAAAAGAAATACAGAATTTATCCTAACCTGCAAGGTAAATTAAAATGTCCATGAATGTGGATTGGGAAACACAGTAAAATTTCATAGACTCTTGACTGGCAGTACACTACTAGTTCCTTCATTAGTTTTTTTTTTTTTTTTCCCTTTTCTCCCCACTTCTGTGTTGGTTTTTTTGTTGTTGTTGTTGTTGTTTCCCAAGAGGATTTTTCTTACCAAGAATAGTGACTACTAAAAAAGGGCATTGAAGAACATTGCAGATGTAGGGAAGAGCATGTTTTTCGCACATCTTACCACAACAGATTATTCATATTTCTTCCAATTTACACTATTTTATCAGGATCAGATTGTCATAAATGAGCTACCTAGCACTCGAGGGGCAGGTGAAAGCCACATGGTACTTGGGGACATTCCAGCATGAGAGAGGAAGGTCAGACACACCTTAGCCAGGCGTGACACGCACCTAAATCCCAGCACTTTTGAAGCTAAAGGCTGAAGAATGTGTCAGTTAAAGGCCAGTCTAAATTCCAAACTGAGACCCTGTCTACAAACAGACAAGCACCTTGACACAATAGAAGATTTTATGGTCAACTGTTCTTTAAGAGAGCTGAGAATCTCCTGTCCATCTATCCATGGTGTCCAGTATGAGGAACATTTAGTCAGTTTTGAGGTGATGTCAGGGCTTGAGCAAGTCCACGAAGGTGTCAAAACCTGTCGCTGTCTAGTGTGGGTCCTTGCTTTTAGTGATAATGGAAATTAAAACAAAAGCACAAATTTACGGGGAAAAGACTTTAATTAGAATACAAGAGAAAATGGTAAGAAATGTTAGTTTGAGGAGCCAACAGAGCCTCCTCAAACTGTTAAGGCTTACTCTCCTTAATAAAGGAGAGTAAGAAAAGTAGGAAAGGACTTCCCCTCGAGCAGCTGTCAGGTACACACCCTTAATGCCATTTTTAAGCCTGTGATCCCAAACATTGTGCACCAGTGCTTGCAGGCATCACAAAAAGGAACCCAACCAGATGGGTTTCCTGACAGGAGCAGACCGCTAACCTGCAGTGTTGTAGTTTTACTGGAATAATCAGTTGGTAATTGGAGCCTGTCTAAATCAGATGCCAATTTATAGAAAACATAGATAAACAAGCAAAATATTAGTGTAAACAGAGATGCATTGAGCAAAATCCAGCCTGCAGAAAATTGCATAGAACAGGGGACCAGGTTTCTCAAACTTCTTGGAGTAATAATTAAGGAAACTAACTTCTAATGGCTAACTTCTGGAAACTCATTCACATGAGTTGCATGTACATTATTCCATGTAATCTCATTCCATGTACATTAGTCATTTATATTTTAAGGAATTTACATAGGAATATTTTGAACATAGATAAGTGATTACTGTATGGCTAAGTCTGTTGAGGAAATAGAATTTCTAAGTGAATTTCATTTAATTTTGTAAGAATAATGGAAAAAATCCGAAGTCAAATCATCAGTTTATTTCATATAGAATTACCCTTTTTAATGTGCTAGTTACTTTCTTTGCCACTTGAACACCATACCTAACATCCACAACTTAATGAAGAGTTTATTTTGACTGACAGTTTGTAGAAGTTTCAGTCCGTAGTCTACTGGCACTAAGATAGGGTGAAAGGGCAGAATGAAGAAGAGAGACCCTTGTCAGCCACACCCTAGCACTGCCTTTTCTGACAGGATCCATCTCCCAGCATCTCCTGGCAACTGGGGAGCCTTGGGACCCCACCTAAAAGCCCCATCCATGAGTGGTGAGGTGGGAAGGGGAGGGCCTAGATACAAATCCTAACAAACATGTCTTAAAATTTGTCTTTGGCCTTAAGATGTCCTTGTGATTTGTGAAAAACCTGACTTTAATGTTCTGCACTCTGAAGTTTTACTCTTAGTATATTCCAGTTAGATGAAATTTGTTTTATGTTGTATTTTTTTTCAGCAAATATTCAGTGAGTTCTTTAAAGATGAAACATTCTGTTAATAGTGAATAAGCAAGAATATTAAAATGTCCTTTTTGTTGAATTTATAATTTTGTAGCAGACATGGTCAGAGATAATACAAGTTAAGGAGGCTTGAATTAAGATGACAGAAATGGATTATATTTGGTAATAGCCAGACTTAACATTACAGTATAGAGTTTTGTTACTTGATAGATGAGTCCTCTGAATATTACCCTTAAGTAATTTTATTTGTACACACAGTTTTGGGGAGCAGAAAAGGATTAGGGTATGAATATTTTTCACAAGAAAATTTATGGCTCCTTTATCCATATTAAATTGCTTCCTGCTTTATACATTTTTGGACTTGTCTTTGTTTTATTTACTAAGTTTTTAATATTTACTGTGTTACTTTCTTTTTTTTATGTATTTAGTACAGAGTCTACAGGGTCTCACTACACAAATCGGACTTGTGATCTCCTGTTTTTAGCCTCCCAAACTCTGGGATTAGAGGCGTGCACCACCACCCCTAGTCTGTCACTAGCTCAGCTTGCCCCAGGAGTAGGGCCGGCACAGCAGGCACACTGGGGATCGAACCCTGGTCCCTACATCTGCCTAAGCAGGAGATTTAATCCGCAGAGTTTTGTGGCTGGCCCTGTGTTTTCTTTTTAAATGATCTTAATTTTTTTGTTTTTTTCTAAATGATCTTTTATAGCATTCATCCTGTTTTTATGTTGTCTTCTGTTGAAACTGAAGTAAACTGAGATACAAACTTTTGTGTGTAACCCAGAAGAAAGACTTACAAACTTAGAGATGCTGCTTATGTTTGTGGGTTCACGTAGCATTCATCATTTAATCAGCCTCAACTCGAGAGCTTTCAGAATATTCAAAATTATTTTATGTCATAGAGTCCATAATTGGGGGAGTTGTAATTAAATTAATTGGTAAACACATCCAGTAGAAAATTTGAGGCTCTTAAAAATGTGATGTAAATCATTGATTTTAATTTTGTTGCAATTCATTTTTACTACAGATTCTGAAGAATATTTCTGTGTAAAAAGAATTTTCTCAGGTGGAGATCAAAGCTTTTCACATTACTCTAGTCCCCAGGTAATAACAAACAACAGCAAAAAACCCAGCTGGGTATAGAGGTACATACCTGCAATCCCAGCACTTGAGGGGCCTGGGAAAATAGATTATGATTTTTTAGGTCACCCTGAGTATCTTAATTACTTTTCTCATTACTGGGACAAAATACTCAATGCTCATAAGTTAAAGGGGGAAAGGTTTATTTTGGCTCAACGGTTTCGAAGCGATTTCATTCCATAGTCAGTTGGCTCTAAGGCAGGGTGGGTTGGTGGAAGAGCATCGCAGGGGAGCAACAGTGTATGACAGGGCAGGCATGGCCAGGGGGCTGCGGCAGCATCAATAGCAGCCCGCTTGCTTTTCTCCCTTGTATTCATTCCATCCAGCGTACAAGCCTGTGGATTGGTGCCAGCCCTACCCCATGTGGGCCTTCCCATTATCAACACCCAATGCTATGCTAATGCCAGTCAGAGTGTCACACACTTTTAATCCCAGTATCACATACCGTAGATGCAGCCAGCTCTGCAAAGCCTGTGAGTGCATAAGGCTTTGGGAGACATCTAGATACAGGCCATAACACTGGGTTATGTAGCAAATTCTGAGCACAGTGAGACCATGTCTCAAAAAAAATATTTTACCCCCTGATCTGTTTGCTAAATTTGTGTTTCATTTTGTTTTTTAAAAAAAGCTCAAAAGCAAATATATGCTGGGAAGTTCTTTGTTTTGAGTTATAGATAGTATCTCTTCCCTCTGACTAATCTCTTTAATTTTAAAATTTAGAACTGTGGGCCACCAGATGACTTCAGATGTCCTGATCCTTCAAAGCAGATTTGGACAGTGAATGAAGCTATAATTCAAAAATGGCTAAGTTACCCTTCTGGAAGGTTTCCTGTGGAAATAGCAAAGTAAGGAAAACATTTTATCTTCACAAAGACAAATACAACCTGTCAACTCTGATAGAAAAAATCTTTATGGGTGTGTGGACAACATCATTTAAACATTTATGTCACTATGTAGTTTTTATATAAAAACAAATGTTTATAATTTCCATAATGATCTTTTAAGAAGTCTAAATTTGTACAAGTTATAAAGTCGATCTTTCATACATACAATGATACACTAAATGAGAAAATATAAAATGCTTTTAGGATTTAATTTGAAATGTGTTCCTTCTAGAGTCATAATGATTGATTGCTTTAATCCATTTACCCCTGGAAGACTTGAATATTCTTTCTTGAATGTTGTGGTCATAAATGAATTTATCTGCACTTAGGCAAAATCCTGAGTTCAGAATCGTATACTCAGTGCATGATTTTGTTGATAGATGAAAGGTGGTATAGCCATGTGCAGAATAATGCTATGCTGTCTTGGTCCACAGTGGACCTCGTACTGCAGTATGTCACAAGGTTTTGGTGGAAGTACAATTCTCCCTATTGGCAAATGACATTATAGCTGTCCTGGTGCAGAGCAATACTTGTGTGTTTGTAGTGATACTCATGTAAATAAATCTACTGCAGTGCCAATTATATGAAAGTACTGCACATAAAATTATACACAGTGTGTAATACTTAGTAATACATGATCATCTTACTAGTAAGTGTATAGCTACCTGCCTATGTATCTATTAAGACAGTACTTACCAGTAAACATTTTCAGTACTGCGGCATACTGTGTTACAGTGTCAGCAGCTTTGTACATCTTATGTTTACTGAATCTCAAGTTTGTTTTGTTCATTGTGGCCTGGGAGCAGTAAACCATACCTTATGTCCTTATAGAGTGGGTGTGTAATAGTCTCTATTGTGTAGGTTTAAGTATATTCAGTGATGTTTCCACAGTGGTAAAGTGATAAAGCCAGAAAACCTATTTCTTAGAACCTACCCAATGGTTGAGTGATGTGGGACTACATGTAAGCTGTTCATTACTTTAGATTTTTTTTTTTTTTTTCCAAACCACAGATTTTCTGAAAATCCCAGAGTGGTCCTCAGAAATAATAACTATAATTATCACTACCAAGTGGAATTTAAAAATTAAATGTGCATGCTTATATAAAAAATTTTAGGCGTTTCCTATTTGTTTGATGAATTAGAAGATAAATATGTTTGTGAGAGTCTAGGGTACACAGTAATACCTTTAGCAGGTATTATGTAATCAATCTTTAGTAATTTGCATAATTACTCATTTTGGGATTTGGTTAGAGGAGTGCTCTGTAATATTGACTGATACATTAAATAAACAACTAAATTTCTCATTTTATTATTCTGCTCTTTTTAAATTTGTTTTTAGTGAGATAGATGGAACATTTTCCTCATGTGCTTGCCTAAATGGAAGTTTTTTAGCTATTAGGTAAGTGGGAATTCCTTGGTTTGCTGAAACTTTCAACTATTAAATAACACATTTAAAAAGTGAAATTATTTCAAAGTGAAAGTGCTCCCCCCCCTTTTTTTTTTTTTAGCAATGATGATCATTATAGAACAGGCACCAGGTTTTCGGGAGTTGATATGAATGCTGCTAGGCTTTTATTCCATAAACTCATACAGCCCGAGCACCCTCAGCTATCTCAGCAGGTTTGTTTAAAGTATTTCATATTTATACTACTATGCCATTGTGTATTTTGTCCCATTTTATGTTTTTAACCTAATTAACTTTTCATTGTCAGAGTTATCATGTACTTTATGTAACTTTATGAAATACAGTAATATAAGAATTAAAATAAGGTTTATTTTAAAGCATTTGTAATTTAGCTGCCAAAGATTTATAAATCTTTCCAGCTATTTTAACAGATTCTTGGTTACTTAACAATGTGTTGGTTGAATCTGTGGCTATAGTGGTGAAAAGCTTCTTAATTCTCTGAATAATGTTTAGGGTTATTTTTCATTGTGCTCCAGGGTACATTCATTCTAAGGTGTTGTCTTTGATTTTGTTTTTCACCATTTCACATTTGCTGTAGTATTGAATTTTTTCTTTAACTTTTTTTTTCCAGTACATTCATTTTAAATGACGTGGATATTTATTTATTTATTTATTTATTTATTTATTTATTTCAAAATATAGGTGGCAGCTAGTTTGGAAAAGAATCTTATACCTAAGTTGACTAGCTCCTTACCTGATGTTGAAGCATTGAGGTTTTATCTTACTCTACCGGAATGTCCTCTGATGAGTGATTCCAACAATTTCACAACAATAGCCATTCCCTTTGGTACAGCTCTTGTGAACCTAGAAAAGGCTCCACTGAAAGTACTTGGTAAGAATTTCAGTATTCTTTTTTCTTTTAGTGAGAATATGCTTGTAAGTTCTTTTTTTTTTGGGGGGGGCTGTTAGAAATTATGCTTCTTTGATTATCTAACAGTTTCCTAGGAAAAACAAATCTGCTTTCCCTTTTGTTTTTTTCTAGTCATTTACTTTTAACTCTTGAAGTTACCAAAGACAAAGCGTGGTAGCCATAGAATTTTAAAGACTAGAGGCAGAATAAAGGAAACTAAAAGCTATTATATTTTTCTTCTTTATTACCTAGAGTGTGATCTTGTTACTAAAGAAATATACAATAATTAAAATTAAACATGAGTTTTAAATTATCTTTATATGATGTCAGACTTGCTTCGTATTTACTTAACTTTCTAATTTCCTGATGTTTGATTTAAATTTCTGTGTTTGTAGACATCCCACATTTCTGTTTGCTCCTGACCTTTCTAGTTTGGGTGCTCCATTTAATTCAGAGCTTTCTTTTTTTTAATACTATTTCTTAGGTATATGGAGCTAAACTATATGAAAGTAATAAAATCAGTACAGGTAAATGTCAAGCTAAAGGTGAGGGAAGAAAGAGTAACAAGGCATGCTGGAATCAGAGATCAGTCAGTGTGTTAGTCAGCTTTTCCATTGCTGGGAGAAAATGCTTCACAGTATAACTTTAAGAGGACTCATAACTTCGAGGGTATCAATCCATGGTCAAGAGTGGCCATATTCTAAGGCAGAGATATGGTGGCAGGGCATGGAAGAAGCAGCTACTTGACTCGTGGTATGCAGGAAACAGAGAACAAGGCAAGAGCCAGAGAGAAAGCCATCGGTCTCCACGTCACATTTCTGACCACCTTCCTCCAGTGAGGCCCCCATCTCCTAACAGCCCAGTTAGCTATAAACTCAACAGTGTGCCTTCCCAGTGCAGCCACCTCACCAGGAGTCTTGGTGTAGGCAAGTTGACAGTCAGGATTAAGTGTCACTAGCAGCAGTAGTTGAGGAAAGCAGAGGCTTGGCTGAAGTATTGCCTCCCAAGTTTCGTAGGGTTGTATTAAATGTAGTTAATGTGGGCATGGACAGGTATGGTATAACTTTGTTTCTGCATTTGATTTTCAGAATTCTTTGCATTGTAAAGGTGGTGCTTCCCAATATTTTAGCTTTATATTGAATGGAGAGATTTGAAAAGATACTTGTTAGAGTGATACAGTTTTAGAATGTGTTTTAGGAATAAAAAAATACTTTAAAACAGTTTAAATAACTTCTTAATACTAGGTATAATGGCAAGTTTTTAATGTAATTTACGCAGCAATATCTGTAAATTCAGTAGGTATTTCATACTTTTTTCTTTTCCCTCCTTTTGAGAGCTTTTATGACAGTGTGCTTCACCTGGGGGATGCATGTTCCTGGGGTTTTCAAAGAGTTAAGAAAAGCCAGAATAATTTCGAAAATTGTGATTTTAAAATTTTATTTTATTTCACTTTATTTTATTTACATGTTTACCCTTTAATCACAGAAAACTGGTGGTCGGTACTTGAACCTCCACTATTCCTCAAGATAGTGGAACTTTTTAAGGAGGTTGTAGTACATCTTCTGAAACTCTGCAAGATCGGCATTCCCCCTTCTGAAAGAAGAATTTTCAACAGTTTTCTTCATACTGCATTAAAGGTTTTAGAAATATTACATAGGGTATGTCCAATACTTTATTTTCCTCTTTCCCTATTCTTGCTAACAGATTTATAATGTTTATTTTAACATTAATATATTACAGCTTTAGATTGGCATGAAAAAACATTTTATAGAAATTTGTGGAAAAGTGACTATAGTTTCCTTTAAAAGAAAATGTGTTTTAGAGTTTTTATATTTATTTTTAGGCTTGTCTGTAGTTGGGCAGAGCAGTAGCATATTAGTGAATTAGAATTCTTGATTTTTTTTGGTGAAGAACATAATTTGTTGATTTAATGATGTATTTTTGTTGTAAGTGGTTATCATGAAAGAGACTGGGTCCTAGTTTTATGAACATTTAAATTTAAGCTCATGTGCTTTTGGTATGAGATACTAATGGCCTCAATCAAAAGAGAATGTTTCATTTAAAACAAGTGACTAATCATAAATTGGAACATTATGTAATTCACTAGTGTGCTTGTTGTTCTTTCCTGCTCATCTTCCCAGTGTAGGTAGTGCCTTTTATACTTGTAGTATTGAAGTTGTGTGAAGAAGTAGTTTCAGCTATTTGAGTACAGAGGGGTGTGAGTCCTGACAGTTGGTGTGTGTATCTTTTATGTCATTTGGTGTTCTTGAGTTGCCATTCAGGTGGGACATGACCTAACGGAGAAGTGTATGTTTCTAGACCAGATTAGCTGAAAAACCTGTGGAACCTTTATTCTTCAGGGGTTTTTGTTTTTCCTTAACTGCTTCTTTTTACTTTCAGGCCCTTTTTGCTTGGAACTTACAGAGGCTAAAGGATAGTCTTTCAGTTTTATGTAAGAAAGAACTGTATTTGTATTTTGAGTTATGATCTCACTGTGTCATCCAGGCTAGTTTTGAACTCACTGTGTAGCCCAGGCTGGCTTTAAATTTGTGGTGTTCCTCCTGCTTCAGCCTCTCAAGTGCTGGGATTATAGGTGTGCAGCACCAAAGCAGGCTGAAGAAAGAACCCTTATGGGTCATTTGTTTTCCTTTCTGTTCTTTAATTGAAGTTCCTGGGTATTCTAAATTATTTAACTCCCTGAACTTTTCCTTTTGTGTATTCAAGATTCCTGCAAAAACAACTAATTTCTCTTCTCTAATGATTAAGAGAATGATGACCCATCTTTCCTAGAGAAACAGGTCATTTTGTAGAGCAGGACTTTGTTTGGTTTGGTTTGGTTTGATAATGTGATACTGTGTGTGGATCAGGACCTTTTGCTTGTCAGGCAGTTGCTTTTGCTGCCAAACTCTCTCCCCAGCCCTGTGGAACAATGCTTCCTTGCTGCCTATGAGGGCGATCAGTCTGCAGTAAACTGCCATCGCAAAGGCCCTCTGACACCTGATGGTTCTCTCTCTACATTTTGTGTAACTTTTGCTTACAATGCAAGAGATTAGTTTTTTTTTTCTTTCTTCTAAACTTTTTTCCTGCTGCTTTGATGAGCCATCCTTTTGAGTTGGACCCGATTCCTAAGTAATTACTGTCTTTATCATCTACTTAACTTCCCACCTTTGAAAGAATTCTTTTTCTCCTTACTTTTTTTTTTATCTTTAGGAACAGGGGTGGGACAACCAATATTTTTATCTTGCATAACTATGGACAAAGCTGGGGTAAGTTATCAATAAGTATAAGGCCCCCCAAGAAAAGAGAAGCCCCTTCCCTTTATCACAGCCTCCATTTGGGGGGGCACAGCTGCTGGCAGCCCAGCCTTGCAAAGGACCCATGCTAGAGACCCAGGTCCCGGGACCTGTGGGTCCTGCAAGGGACATGGCATCAGCTAGGTGCTCGCAGTCAGCAGTACCGTCTCGCTGCTCTGCACACGTCTATACTGCTGTTTAATTTTTTTTTTTTTTTTTTGCGGAACCAGGGATTGAACTCAGGCCCTTGTGCTTGCCAGGCAAACACTCTACTGAGCCATCTTCCTGGCCCCTTGCTGTTTCATTTAAAATCCTTCAAAACTCTTTTGAATTTCAGCTGTAAAAAAGCACAAGATGCCAGGTTCTTGCTGGAGACTTATTTTATTTATTTTTGCAGTACTGGGGATCGAACTTAGGACCTTGCCCTTGCCAAGCAGGTGCTTATGCTGCTGAGCTATCTATACTCTGTCCCAGGGGACCTTTTCTAAAATGACTGAAATTTTAGAATCAGGTAACACCTTATTCCTTGAAATAAAGTAGATGTTCCTCAGAGACTGCTTTTTAAAAATTTTTATTTTGAGATAGGGTCCCCTTAAATTGCCTTAATCCTTCTGCTTCTACCTCCTGAACTAGAATTATGTATCCACAACCCTCAGAAACCTTTTTGATTTTAGAGCCATGATAGATACTAGATCCAAAATTTTTGTTATTTATATTTATTTGTTTACTTATTTTTGATATAGAGTCTTGCTTTGTAGTTCAGGCTAGCTTAAACTATGTAGCCCATTCTGGTCTTTAAATTTATGGTAGCCCTCCTGCCTCAGCCTCTCAAGTTCTGGGATCACAGGCGTGTGCTACCATAGCCAGTTAAGGGTCCAAATTTTGTTAGTTGAAAGTGAAACAAAAATACAGTAACATTTATTGCTTGCTACCAGTATCCACATTAAACCCTCCTTTGTAAATAATACATGAATATACTTAAATTTTCTAACCTTCTGTAGTTTGTACTTTGCCCCCTTTTATTGACTAGACAACTGAATCTCAGCATCAAAGATCATAAACCAGTAAGTAGCAGAACCTGAAAATGCAAATTCTCTGCTGTTTCTAAAACTGTCATTTTTTTTAGTAAATAACATGTTGGGAAGGGAGTTGAACTTCATTACTCTGCTGAATCCAGAAGTTCATACTCTAGCTGGCATTGTTAAATTATGTGTAATATTGTATGGAGTTAAGAGACCTAGACTGGGCATCAAGCTGTGTGTGTGTGCATAGCCTAGGTATGTAGCAAATCAAATCCTGTCTCCAAAAAAAAGACTAGAAACCAAAAGATCATGGTTTAGTTCCTTTTTGATGCTTTCTGTTAATATGATTTTTTTTT